ATCATTGTTATTAAGGGTCAGAAAAGTTACAGCCTGCAGACAGTTAGTGTAGCTTAGCACAAAGACTGGAAACAAGGGGAAACAATTAGCTGGATTCCATCTAAAGGTGAAATTATAACACACTGTAGTTTTTGTGTAAGTATATATTTAAACTCAAAGGCCACAGAAGCGGAACCAACCTTTTAGTGGAGACCACCCACTAGCACCTTCTCCTTTTCCATCTTTCCCTTGGTCACCACCTCCTGCTCCTCCTGCTCCTCCTGCACTTCCCGCTCCTCCTGCTCCTGCACCTTTGCTTCCAGGCTTTGGAGGAGGCACAGGGGCTCCTCCTCCTCCAATCTGCATCGCTCCATAGTGCACATGTCCAGTCTGCTTGCTCACAAAATGCCCACCGAGGTTAATCATGTCACTTCCAATTTGACCCCCCATAGAGGGAACAAACTTCTGGAGGTTGTCCTGAAAGAAATGTGATCCACATAAACCACCATATGCCCCACAGCACATTCATTTGTCTGTGCTCATTAACCTTGTTTCAGTCTGTGTGTGTAATTCACATGGTATCGTTAACTTTTGAGGAAAAAACGTTCCTTGAGTTTACAGAAGAGTCATTTGTATTTTTTTCCTCCATCAACTACAGGCTCTCACCATCGACTCACTGCTGAAGACGTCGGGGTTGTTCTCATAGATGAACTTCTCCACTCTCTTCTGCCTCATCCTGAACATCTTGGAGCCTCGGTTCTTCATTAGGGACAGCTCCTCTAGCATGATGTCTTTGGGAGTCCTGATCTTTGTCCCCAGGTCGAACTCAGAGGCCTCCGGCTCCGACTCATACTCTGGGTGAGGGGCATCAACACACATGGATTCAACATTTGAAAATGACAAAACAATATAGTAGACAGAGGACAATAAGGTAATTTAACAGATGTTTAAACTACTTGTTTAAGCATTTCTACAATATTTGTTCATGTGCTTCCTCTGCAATTATAATGTGACTTAATTTTAACATTTACATTACCTTCATTATTTCACACTTTTTTGACATTTAATGAGAAAAAAATATCCAAAGAACTAAAACATTTACATATATGCTTAATTAATATAGCTGTTTGGATTTTACTGCAGAAATAAAGCTGTTCATACTATAAGAATGCAGTAACCTTCACCTGGCATTTACCAAAATGTGTATATTCTTGAGCTGTGTTGAGCATGGTACCCCAACCGTATAAAAAATGTACTTCATTTTCATATGCGCTCCTGTCAGACTTACCATCCTGAGTGATGTGTGAGAGGTCGGTGATGATCTTAGAGAGCTTTTGCCGCTTGTTTAGTGGGGCAGGCGTTCCCAGAGGCATGACTGGAGGGCCAAGAAAAACCATATGGTGTTAGCACAAACATAACATTTGAGTACTTTTTGAATATTTTCAAGCGATAGAGGTGATGTGAGTGAACTTGTCTTCCTCCAAAAAACCCAAAGCAAAAAGAGAAATTGAAAGCAGACAAACAAAATAAATGTAAGTAAAGGTAAATTGGGTTTTAAATACAACAACCTGAACTATGATGCTACCTTTATTTGCCTATTCAAAGGAATGGAATCATCATCTGTGCTAAGGATCAAGTGATAGGAGTGTTTTCGTTTTAGATTTCAACCAACTTCTCAGTATTCGTCAACACTGACGGTCATCAGCAGCCCCTGAAAGTGAATCCACGGGACCTGAATGTGACATGCAAACAGACGGCACGGGGCCCTGCTCCATTTTCAAGTTCAAGTTTCAGCACCCTCGGATTACCCACATTACCCAGCGAAACAGATGTCTGCCCTAAAAGACGTATAGCTCCTTGACGCATGTTTCTGTTTTGTTAGGTGGCACACACTGAGTCAACATAAACAGAAACACGCTGTGGTGATCAATGCACCCTGGTGTTATTCTGCTGCAGTAAGAGTGAAGGCCATCAGCATTATTCATATCATCTGTTCATATTCCCCAATCTGCAGCCTTCATGAGAACAAGCTGGCAGGGGAAAGTGGAAGCAATACAAATTTCTGACAACCTCCCTGGTGTTGGGATATGCATCTTCTTCTTACATTACCTTATGTGTTTATGTGATTTTAATCTCTCTACGTGCACATACACCCCTCAGCTTCTTTAATTCACAGTCAAGTGACAAAACATCACATCACATCGCATCTACTGGCTGAAACTCAACCCCCCTGCAGCTATTTTTAAAAGCCATTTCCAGCCAAGACATTTTAGTGACGTGTGATGGCGTCATTCAACTATCAAATGGACTTAACACAGCCCTTAAGGACACAATGCGCACCTCCAGAAAACAAAGCCAAGGGCACGTTTGAACCTCTTTCAAAACCCCAGAGAGATCTGGAGCAGTTACGGCGAGTTTTTGGAAACGTTTTTCATTTCCTTAAATAATTACAAGCTCAGGGATGCCTTGCGATCAGGTTTTCCACCCCCCATCAGGGTTTGGAGACACCATATAAAATCTGTGCAACGCCCACAGAGAGGGATGGTCAGCACATTCACCCATTCCTTTGGTCATTTTAAGACCTAAGAAAATCTAAAAGCAGCAAAGTGACTCACTGAGCCATTTATTGGTGGAATTAGAAGCATTCATATCAAAAGCAAAGTAATAATCTGCTCTGCATAGTAGGTTGAGTCTTCTTTAGTAATTTTTTTCAGGCTTACAATCCACACATTTATGATTGCATGGAAAATATGTTGTCTTTATTGCCTCTTCCCATTCTTGTAGTAGCCGGACGTTAAATCCAAGCTGTTGGTTGTTTAGTAGAACAAAGTACATCGATGGGATGCAGATCCACTCACCGGTATTTTGTTGTAATCCTCGGAGGAGAGGCAGACCTATAAAAATCAAACAGACGGGAGGAGACCCAGGGCTTATCTCTTATCACAAGTTTACAAATCCCGCAGCGCCTCTGACCCTGTTGCTGGACCCAGGTGCAAAACCCAACCTGCACTCAGATGGCAGATCTTCCAGAGGCTCGGGGGTGTGGGTGGCAGCAGAGTTGGTGTCAAGACGGGAGGAGGAGGCGGCGGTTGAGGTTTGGG